AATCAGTGGCGTGACACACGCCTGGTGTGTGTGTGTGTGTGTGTGTGTGCCCAAAATTCCAAGAGGAGAGTGGAAGAGAAGGGATTATGGCATGGCCAAGCCCCTGGGGTGCGATTTTTCATTTTCTGTCCCTCTGGCAAGTGCACGTGCCCTATAGCAAAAATCTCTCTTAAAACAAACAAACACAAAATAGAAGGTTCTGAGCTCATCGCTCACCCCTCTGGGCAAACCAGCTGCCATGCTGTGAGGACATGCAGGCGGCCTATGGAGAGGCCCTGTGGCCAGGAACCCGGGTCTCTGGCCAACAGCCCGTGGGTGAGCGTGGAAGTGGGCCTTCCAGCTCCAGGTGGCGCCACCCAGCTGGCCCCTGTGGACCATGAACTTATGAGCGGCCCCAGGTTGAACCAGGCAGCCAAGCTGCTTGGATTCCCAACCAAAGAGGTGAAAGCAGTCCATGTGTCCCTGTTCTCCGCAACGTCTCACGGCTCACCTGCAAGCAGCAATCAAGGACCGGCCGTCTCTGCACTTCAACGAAAGCGCATGAAATGTGCTTTGCCCTGGCTGGAGGACTCTCGGCCACGCCCTTTGTGAAAGACCTCCTTCCAGTCAACATCCTAGGCCTTGGTTTCCCACCTAAAGCGAGGTGGGGGGGCTACGCTGTAAGCCCTGGGTAACAGTGTTTTGTGCCTGGCTTACTCTTGACTGACTTCTGTCGAACACTTGGAGAGGACATATGTGCAGCTGGCCTGGCGGCTGGCTTGTCAGCACTGCACCACCGGGTACGTGCAAGGTCTCCCGCTGCGGCTCACAGCACCGCGGACAGCTGCATGTGGGCTTTGCCTTGTGGCTGTTAAGGCCTCACTGCAGAAGCCACCTTCCCCGGCCCTGTGTCATGAACACACGATGCCGCAGCTGAGAGTGACCTCATCTGGCCAGCTGAGGCTGCACCTGAGCCCTTTCCTGGTTCTATGGGCCGTGGCCCAGAAGAGCCTCTTCCTGTTTAAAAATATTTATTTTGATTGCCAGAGAGTACGTGCACTCACCAGAAAGAGATAGGGAGAGAGAGAAAGCTCCCCAGTGACGTGTGGTCACGCCACAATCCTTTTTCCCTTTCTCCATGCTGTCAGGATGTTGAGCATGCCTGCACACATACCCTGTGTGCTTTTCAAGTCATCAGGGTGGTCAAGCACATGGGCTCGAGCTTCCTTAACCACAAGGCCATGGGGCTGGCCCCGAGTGCACAAGCCGAACTTAGAGATCAGTTTCAATTCTCCCAGAACGAGGAGAGGCAGCCCTAGCACAGGTGGGCCCTGTGTTTGCTGACCGTGCACATGTTGTGATGTCAGGGAGGGTAACCCCACAGTGAAGGCAAAGCCAGATGCCATTCGCACAGATCACCATGTTCTGGCACGTACCGCACACATGCAGCAAGCTCTACCCAACCACAAGCCCATGCATGGAGCTACTTGTCCTCCTTCCTGTGGGGAGTCACCCAGAGCCCAGCCCAGGACTGCTCACCACGGCTGCTCCCCAAAGGGGCGCTCCTGGGCCACGCCATGGCCTTGGCCTCCCCACGCAGCCCCTGGAACAGTGAACGGGAAGCCTACCCAGCTCTCCACCCGAGATGGAGAAGTCCCGCTCGAGAATGGCCCACTTCTGGATGTGGTAGGGCCGGGCCGCTGCGTTCGCGTTGACCCTCTGGATCCCCTCTTCGATGGCCTGATACACGGCCTCGTCCTTCTTCCCCACGATCTCGGAGACCGTGGTGGCCTTGCTGCCCACCCGCTGGCAGAACTCCACGGCTTTTTCAGTCAGATTATCAGTTGGGTCAGAGGTGTCGGGGTCCAGGGTGCACTGCAAGGCAGAGAGCAGGTGAGGACCCAGCCTGGTTCCCCAAGACAAACCCACTGATGGTAAGGGCGTGACTTGCAGAAAGCGTATCAAAGGGACAGTTCTGGAATGAGCGGGATGCTACGGTGCCAAGCCCTGCGGCCGGAGGACTGGGAGACCTTGGTCAGTGAGTGGAAAAGTGGTGAACTAACTCTTGCAGGCCTCCTACTCTGGGAGCCTGAGAGGGGGTGGGGGAGACAATATTTTTGTTGTTTTGTTAAATTTGCTAAACATGCACTTGCTGGAAGGTTGGGGTGAGAACACACCCTCCACAGGGGATGGTCACACCACAATCCCTCCCACGTCTCTCCCTCCTTTCGGGATTTTGGGAGTGCACGTGCCCTGTGTGTTTTTCAAGCTGCCAAGTCCAGGACTCGACCTGTGCATTTGGCCATGCTGGATCCAGCTGCCCTAAGCACCAGGCCGCCAGCCAGCCACCAGCAGCACTTTGTAAGCAGGGGTGCATCGGGCACACGTGAGGACCGTCGCAGCGGCTCAGTGGGGGGAGAGGGATGTGCCTGTGCTCTGCTGTCCCCACCCCCCAGTGCCGGCAGCACCGACTGCAGAGACCCCAGAATGAAGACTTCAGACCCGATGTGCTGGACAGGGCCACCCACAGGCCACCTGCAGGCTGCTCCTGCAGAACCAGAGCCCGGCTCACCTTCAAGGTGAGCAGCATGGTCAGGAACTTCCTCTGGTCGCCGATCAGCATGGCGTTGCTGATGACAGGCAGCTCCGTCTTCACGGCCTCTTCGATGGGCACTGGGGGCACGTTCTCCCCGCCCGCCGTGATGATCAGCTCTGGGGGAGCAAGGCCGGCCCGGCCCAGGCTGTAGTCCAGTGCCCCGCGGACGCACCACCAGGCCTCAGTCACAGCCCGGGGCCCGACGGCGGACAGTGCGGTGGAGGGGCTGCTCGAGGTGAGCCAGCAAGCAGGGCTGGCCCTGGAGCACCTCACCTGCTGGCACGGGACAGTTCCAGAGGGCGAGTGCTCGCCCAGGGCCTCAGGCCTCGGCCCACCGACCGAGACTGCCTGCTCAGACTTCTCACCTGATGATCTCATTGGCCCCCTTCTGCCCGCCCTGGTTGGTCCACAGACGAGCCTTCCCCCCGGCCCCAGGCCCTGGACAGCCTGTGCCATGCATACTGAACCACTGCCATGTGTCACTCACAGCGCACACACGATCCTCCTACAGATGAAGGCGGGGACTATGGGACTTATACACCAGACCAGCCTCATAAAGCGACACTGCAGACGGGTGCAGGGACAGGCAAACACACCAGCGGGACAGAATAGAGACTTCTCAGAGACATCCCTTGGTAAATGACGGCATGGCCGTGGAGGGCAATCTGGAGAGACTGGTATCTTCTTCAAGTGATGTCGGGTCACTTGGGTTTGTATCCAGGGAAAACGTATCTGGGCCCTCACCATACTATTTCTTTCTTTTTTAGAGAGCGTTTTTGCTATAGGGCATGTGCGCTCACCAGAGAGACAGAGACAGAGCAGAAAGTGAGGTACCACTCCCCAGCGGGGTGGCCACACTGTAATCCCTTCTCCTCCATTCTCCTCTTGGGGTCTTGGGCACGCACGCACACGCACCAGGCGTGAGTTTTAAGCTGCCAATCCGGGATTTGAACTGCAGATGACTATGGAGGAATCCAATGACGTAACCACCAAGCCACATACTGGTCCCTCACCGTACTGCCTCTAAAAGGAGAGCCCACTCTGGATGAATTTCGTTCCCTGGTACTGTCTTTGCCCACGTAGGGACGCAGGGCCCTCATCTGCCATCACAAAGGCAAACGCTAGGTGGCCCCTACAGCACACCTGCGCCTCCACCCTAAACAGCCACCTCTCCTGCCCCAGCCAGGGTCCCAGCCAGGCAGGCCTGCACGGCCATGGGCCCAAACACTGGGGCATCCTGGCCTCCCTGGCACGTCCGAGCCTGCTTGGAACTTGGGTAGGCTCTGCACTGCCTTGCGTCCTTTTCAGAAAGTCGTTCACACACTCACCAGCTTCAGTTTCTCTGCGAAATGTGAGTGCTGGCTTCCCACAGGGGTGTTACAGGTGCCACACCCCTCGGGCAAAGCAAGCCAGACATCCTTCAGCCAGGATCTCCGACTCACATCCCTGTCTGTGGGAATTTCTCTGAAATCTTTTTTTTTTTAAAGATTCTTGCCAGAGGGTGTGGGCGCTCACAGGAGACAAGCAAAGCCAGTGAGAGGGAAAGTGAGAAATCCCCCCAGAGGGATGCCACACTGTAGTCCCTTCTCCTCCCTCCTCCTCCTGGGGTTTCAGGCATGGACACACACACGGCTGGTGTGATTTTCAAGCTGCTGGGTCTGGGACTTGAACTCAGGTCAGCCGTGTGGGAGTCCAGTGCTGCAATCACTATGCCCCCTGCTGGCCCCTGAAGTCTCATGTTTTATTTTTAATTTTCTATCCAGTTTGCATTCTATTCTCCATCATCTCGGTGTTTCTTTCTAAAAATAAATAACACCTATGCCCTCGAATCTTCCAGGCAGACTAGCTTTGCTTCTCTAAGGGTCTGAATCCCAGCTGGATGGCCTCGGGCAAGCTCCTTAACCTCTCTGCGGTCTTCGGTGTACGTGGGGGCAGTGACAGCACCTGCCCCAGGAGCGCAGAGCGGGTAAAGGGTCAGTGACGGTGTGGCGCCGAGGGCTCAGCACCGCTGGCGGGTGTAAGCCGCAGAGTGGGTAGACTCCTCCTCACTACAGCCCTGCACTCACCTTTGAGGCGCCCAGTGATGTAGAGGAAGCCGTCGGCGTCCAGGCGGCCGGTGTCGCCCGTGTGCAGCCAGCCGTCCGCGTCGATGGCCTCGCGCGTCTTGTCCTCCATGTTCAGGTAGCCCATGAAGATGGTGCGGCCCCACAGGCAGATCTCGCCGACACCGGCTGCGTCCTCGTTCACCAGCTTCACCCGGCAGCCTGGCACCACCTTGCCCGAGCTGGGCCGAGAGAAGCGTGAAAGCTGGGCGGGGGAGCCCTGGATCTGGTCCCCAACCTCTGTCTCCACTGGGGGCCAGAAGGTGTCCCCTCCCAGGTTTTGTTGTTCGGTTTTTACGTTTTTGCCGTAGGGTGTGTGCATGTGCCAGAGAAAGAGACGGAGAGAAAGAGAGAGAGAGACATTCCCCCCCACACGGGGGATATGGCCATGCCCCAGTCCCTTCTCCATTCTCCCAGGATCTTGGGCATGCACGCACGTACACACCTGGAATTATTTCAAGCCACCCTGTCCAGGACTCAACTGTGCAGTTGGCCAGATGAGAGTCCAGTGCCTTAACCACCATGCCACCTGCTGGCCCCAGGTTTCTGTATTGAACTAGGGACTTGGAGCTGAAAGGTAGGGCCAATTAAAGGTCCTTAAGTGAATGAATGAATGAATGAATGAAACAGGAAGGTCAAAGCTGGAACACTGTGAGAGGCCAGCAGGGAGGAGTGTACGTAAGCACAACAGATAATACTTGAAATCACTCCCCAGGATCGACTGCCCCCCGCTCCCACCCACCAGAGGGCTGGCCTTTGTACCCTATTCCTCCCCAACTGGAGCCTGGGCCATCAGCTATCCTGAGACTCCCCCTAGCACACTTGGCTCTCCTGGAGGAAGGGGACAAAGGAATGTCCCGTCAGGAGGACTCTGTTTGGGGGTACCTGGGCTGGTAAGGCTGTTTCCAGCCATGGACCCACGGACACGGTGGCAGAGACTGCCCCACCAGACAGGCAGAGAAGCACGGGACGTGGCCCAAGATGGCAGTGTCAGCACTCCGCAGCCCCCCAGCCCAGTGGCCAGGTCTCCGGGACCTGACGGGTGTATAAAGAGGACAGGGTCCCCGGGGCATTCAGCAGGCAGGCACGGAGGGGCAGGGCGTGCGTGTGCATGGCAGCCTCAGGCCTCACCTGTAGAGCCGGTAGTTGTAGGGGCTGGACATGAAGTGGGGGCCCGAGGTCTCGCTGAGGCCGTAGCCGGCGTACAGGCGGATGTTGAGGCCCAGGAAGAAGTGCTGAGTCTCCGCCGTCATGGGGGCTGCTCCGTAGAAGTTCTTCTGGCACTTGGCAAAGCCCAGTGCCTGGCGGACCTTGGCTAGCACCAGGTAATCTGCCAGTCGGGTGGTGAAGGGCTTCAGGTCGCTGGTGGAGAGTGAGAACGGGCCAGGGAAGAAAGCCCAAGCAGGCTGTGAGGGTGAGTGTGCAAGAGGTGTGCACTGCATGTGTACCACTCCAGTCGTTGCCTCGAGCGCAGGAGGTGCCACCTGGTGCCAATGCCAAGCCCATCATCACACATTTTGCGAATCGGCCCTGCCCATAAACACGTGCACAAATGTAGCTGTGCATATGTGTGGCTGTGTGCAAAGGTGTCTTCAGCCATGTGCGGGTGTGCAGGCAGTGACAGACACGTGCAAACTCGTACCCACGATAAAACACACATGCAGAAACGCAAAGTGTACACTCATGGACACACGGGGCAGACGTGTACCAGCCCATCTGAAGCCCACATGGGCTTCGTTCACGCAGTCGCCATCACGTCTGTGCAAATGAAGCCGTGGGCGCTCAGGGGAAGACACACCGTATCTCCTCACAGCACACTAGCAAGGGGAGCCGCCCCTAAATGGAGACGGGCCAGACGTCTATGGTCAATCCTCTCAAAGCACCGGGGATTTCAGAAGTGGGGTGTCGGGGAGGGGCCCGGGCAGGCACCTGATGCACTATAAGAGCCCCGCTCCTGGCATCCCGTCCTCAGCCACCCACAGAGGTCAGGAGATGTCCTAGGAGGTGCACACCTGCAGAGGAAGCTAGCCAGTCCTCCCAGGCAGAGGGGCACCTGTCCCCATGTGATCTGGGAAGAGGGTGAGACTCAGGCCTGGCCATTGTGGGGCCTCTGCATGGCAGTCCCCAAACATGCACAGTGTGGCCAGGACAAGCCTGGCCCATCAGATCCTCGGCTGGGCATGGGCTGTGGCTCCGCCCTGCTACCTCCCAGGCTTCCTGCCCCCAGGCCCCTGTACCTGCAAGGGCACGTGAGATTCTGCTCCAAGGTCACCGACATGGCCCAGAGAAGCATCTTGCGCCGGATGAAGCCAGACTGGGCTGCCACCTCCTGGATGCGCTCCATGATCTTCTCCCATACCCGCGGCACCCCCATGTGGGACGTGGGCTCCACCTCTCGCAGCGTGTTCACCAGGCTGCCCTGTTTAACCGTGGGGAGGCAGGCCTGCGGCTTAGGATCAGAGGGGCCAGGAGGCCCCTTCCGCCAGCTGGGTGTGCATGCAGCTCACGGTGCCAGCAGTACACTGGGGCTTACGCGGATACACACACACCCCGCACAAGGGGCCCGTGGGCACCCGGACAGACTGTCCCCAACCTGTGACGGTTCGACTGTACTGTCAAGTGCCAAGGCTACAGGCATCGGGCAGAAACGGGCCTTCAAAGTCTGCACCTGGGGCTCTCCCACGGCTAGCGCTGCGGGGGAGGATGCTGTCTTGAGATGCTGAGCAACGGCCCTGAGCCGCGGTCCCGTCACCCACTCCGTCACACGCCTACAGGGTGCTGGCTGCCAGCGCCTTTGGATTCTGTTGTTTATTCACATCCCCTTGTGTTGACAAATTTTTTTCTTTTGCCAGAGCACACGTGCTCGCCACAGAGAGATGAAGAGACAAGGGAAGTGAGAGGTACCCTGGGGGGATGGCCACACCACAGTCCCTTCTCCTCTAACCCTCCTTCCTGTTGGGAGGCTGGGCACACATGCACACGTACCAGGTGTGTTTCTCAAGCTCCAGGATCCAGGTCTCAAACTACACAGTTGGCTGTGTGGGTTTGAGCCACCTTTACCACTAGGCCACGGAGCCAGTCCCCAAATGCTCGTTTCTGCCTTACAATGAGTTTATTGGGATGTAACCCACCGTGAGACAGGAGCGTGTGCACACGTGGGCACCCTTGCACACACGCTCGAGCCCACACAGCAGAGGACTGACCTTCAGGGCATCAGGCTCGGCGAAGCAGACCTGGGCCCCCCACTGGATGCCGGTCCACAGGTCGTAGATCTGGGCGGCGATGTGGCTCAGGGGCAGGTAGCTGACCACCACCTCCTGCTGCACCTCTGCAGGCTGGATGTCACCGGCCTGGCTTTTTTGTGATCTGGGGGACGGGCAGATGCGCAGGCTGTGCTCACAGCTACTTGGACTACTTCTGTGGGGATCACCTGGGCAGGCAACCTCCAGGGGATGTCTACAGGCCCCGGAGACTCCCAGGACAGGTTCCTCCCTTCTCCAGGGTGATGGGCCACTCACTGAGTTTGGGGCCAGAGGAACTTCCCCGGGGACTGTTGGGGCTGGGCCATGGCCTGGATCCCCCATCCCTCCCCTGCCCGTCCGAGCATCCCTCCTACGTTGTCTTGACTCAGCATCACGCCCTTGGGGGGCCCGGTGGTGCCCGACGTGTAGACCAGGGCGCAGCACTGGTTGGGCTGCTGGGCCTCGATGATGGCGTCCAGGGCCTCCTCGGGCACCTCGGCTCCCAGCTCCATGAACTTCTCCATCTACGGCCAGTGGGGAGAACCAGCAGTCCAGGTGAGTGGGGTGGCCGGCAGCCCCCAGCCGATGCCCAGGGCCCACGCCTAGGGCCCAGGTACATACCGTGTACACATTGGCCATCTTCTCGGGAGGAGACTCTCGATATATCACCACTGCCTTCAGATGGGGCAAGTTTTTCCAGATCTGCATTCACAGGAAAAAGACGTCGGGTTTCAGCAAGAAAAACGTCACATCCTGAAACGGACCTGTCTCCCGGTATTCGTCTGCTGGGCGGGCACTTGGGGCAGAGGTCTCTGGGCTCTCCCGACCTCGACCCCCAGGATGATCGCCACCCTTCATCTGTAGTCCACCATCATGACAACTGGGTTTACTCCAACGGGGTCTTGACGCTGTGATCCACCCCAGCCTCCAGCCAGCCCTGGACCATGGGCACATGTGTGCCGGGAGTACTCAGGGAGGCCTCCAGATTCACACCGGGAACCTCGCCACATGGGACTGCCTCACAGAGGGTCACATGTGACTGCTATGCCGACATGTGGCCCTCATGTCCTCGTGTCAAAGGGCTAACTCATTAACAGGACAGAATAATCTAAACACGACGTGCCCGATGACAGAGTGCCAAAATACACGAGGCAAGGACTGATGGCACTGAAAGGAAAAACAGACCATCTCTAATAAGTTTTGGAGATTTGAACACTTGTTTTCTCAATCTGCCTGTGATAAAAGCAGACAGAAAATTAAGGGGAATAGAAAACAGAGACAACATTATAACACTACCAACCAACTTGATATAATTAACATTAAAAGTGTTTTTTTCTTGGAACCAGCAGGTGGCATGGTGGTTGGGGTGCTGGATTCCCACATGCCCGACTGCAGTTCAAGTCCCAGGCCTGGTGGCTTGCTTTCTCTCTCTCTCTCTCTCTCTGGTGAATTAAAAAAATAATAAGTAAAAACTAAATAAATAATCCTTAAACATTTTTTTCTTTATAGAACACGTGCATACACATGTGAGAGAGAAAGATGAGCACCCTCCACAGAGTCTGGCCACACTGCCGCCCTCTCCCTCCACTCCTTGTCCCATCTTGGGCACCCATGTGTGTCCCTGGAATGCTTCAGGCTGATCAGGCCCGGGATTTGAACCTTAGTTGCCAAATGGGCTCCAGTTTGTCTTGAGCAGTGCACGACCACTGCACCACAGAGCTGGCCCAACATTCTTACCATGTCTAGAACATTCTACCTGACAACTGCAGAATACGCGGTGTTTCAAAGGTGCCTGGAACAGCTACCCAAAGTGACCATCGTTCTGTCTGCCACCTGCTCTGCACGAAAAGGGGGTTCAGTTTCCAAGAGCCCCAGGTGATGCGGAAAATGCTTTCCTTTGCAGGAGAGTTATAGCTGATGAATTCGAAAATCTGCTCTTTGACACCCCACTTGTCATGATTCACTCAGGCCGAGATCGTCGATGGATGCTGAAACCATCAGCAGAAAGCTAGAGGGGACCTTCCCAATGGATGGGCAGGTGGTCAGCCCTGACCCACTGGCGAACCCCGGGATCACCCCTGCCACCCCGTGCCTCTCGGAATGGAGAGAGCTATCAGGGACACAGCGCCACCCGCAGGATGCTCTGGCCCAAGAAGGTGTGATTTGAAATGCACCAGGCCTTGCACTCTCACAGGGAACGCCGGGGTTAGAGGAACAAGGTACACGGCAGCAAGAGGAAGCAGTCAAATGAGCCCAGAACGTGAGCCTTTGGAAAAGCCACCTGGCCTACTTCCTGCAGTGTGTCTGGCAGAGGCTCTCACTGAGTGTGACTCACCAGAGGGCTCATTAGACACTGAGTGCTGAGTCCCACGCCCTGGATTTTTGACTCGGGAGGACTGGGGTGGGGCCTGGGACTTGGCGTTTCTAACAAGTTCCCAGCTTATGCTAATTCAGGGGCCTTGCTGATCTATGGCATAGGACACAAAAGATAGGGCTTTGCTCCAAATTGCGAAACACACAGGAGACACAGCCACATGCAACAGGTGGGCCTGGCTTGGCCCTGGATTCAAATAAACCTGCCGTAAAAGACACTGTGGGTGAAGAAGCAGAAAGTGGAATGGTGGTTGCCAGGGCCCCGGGGGAAGGGGGCATTCGATGAGTGTGGAATTTCAGCTTTGCAAGATAGAATGAGCTCTGGATGGCGGAGGTTGCACACACTGTGAATGTATTTAACACACCGTACACCTGACAATGGTAGGATGACAAATTTTATGCTGTGTGTACTTTACCACAATTTTGAAAAAATGGGGGGCCAGACTCGTGGTCTGGCGTTTAAGGGAGCTGGAGCCTGGATGGCCAACTGCACAGCTCAGGTCCCAGCCTTGCTAGCTTGGAAAACACACCAGGCGTGTGCGTATGTGTGCCCGAAATCCTGACAAGGGGGAGAGGTGGAGAAGGGATTGCAGAGCGACCACCTCCTATCGGGGGGTGCTTTCTCCATTTCCATCTCTCTGTCTCTCTGACAAGTACACGAGCCCTCTGGCGATTAAAAGAAAAAGGAAGGAAAACCAAGATTTTGTATGTATTACACAATATAAAATCATTCTTTTTTCAGAGAGAGATTTTTGCTATAGGACATGTGCATTTGCCATTCTCCTCTCGGGATCTTGGGCATGCATATACACCTGCCCAGCGTGAGTTTCAAACCGCTGGGTCCAGGACTCAAACCATGATGGTTGGCAATGTAGGAGTCTAACAATGTAACCATTATGCCATCTGCTGGTCCCTGAAATAATTATTTTTTCTTGTATTAGATGTGAAAAAGTTACAAAAATTATTTAAAGAAAGATTTCTTTTTGTTTTTAGAGAGATTTTTGCTAGAAAAGTAAGAAATTACCCCCTAGGGGGGCTGGACATGCCACAATCTCTTCTCCTCCATTCTCCTCTTAGGATCTTGGGCATGTACGTACATCCATCCGGTATGAGTTTTAAGCTGCCGGGTTTGGGACTTGAACCATAGTCGACTACATGGGAGTCCAGTATGTAACCATTATAGCATCTGCTGGTCCCAGAATTATTAATTTAATTTGATTTATTATTACTCTTAACTTTTTGTTACAGGGCATGTGTGCTCACTAAAGAGAGAGAAAGTGAGAAAGCAAGTCTCCAGGTCTGGGACTCAAACCATAGTCTGCCATGTGGCGGTCCAGCACCTTAACTACCATGCCATCTGCTGGCCCCACAAATCTTTGTGTTTTTTTGAGAGTTTTTTAATTTAATTTTATTTTTTTTGCTATAGGGTGTGTGCGCTAGCCAGAAAGACAGAGACAGAAAGCGAGAAATCACCCCCAGGGGGGATGGCCATGCTGCAATCCCTTCTCCATTCTCCTCTCGGGATCTTGGGCATGCACGCACACGTACCCGGCGTGAGTTTAAGCCACTGGGTCTGGAACTTGAAATCGCAGTTGACTACGTGGGAGTCCCAGCGACATAGCCATTATGCCAACTGCTGGTCCTGGCCCCACAAATCTTACTTATTTATTTTTTAAGAACTATTTAATTTATTATTATTATTATTGTCTTTAACTGGGATAGGAGCAGTGACAGAGCAAGCCGCCAGTTCTGGGATTCAAACAATGATCAGCCGCGTGGGAGTTCAGCACCTCAGCCACCACACCACCTCCCGACCCAGTTTCCTTTCCTTTTTTAAAAAATTATTTATTTATTCATTCATTCATTTATTTTAATTTGACCAGAGAGAGAGAGAGAAAGTGAGAAAGCAAGTCACCAGGTCTAGAACTCAAACCATGGTCGGCCATGTGGGAACACCCAGAGTCCTAACCACCATGCCACCTGCTGGTCCCCCATTTTCTTTTCTTTTTTTTTTTTTTGGAGAGGTTTTCACTATAGGGCGCAGACAGACAGAGAGAGAGACATAGAGACAGAAAGCGAGAAATCACCCCCAGGGGGGATGGTCACACCGCAATCCCTTCTCCTCCATTCTCCTCTTGGGATCTTGGGCATGCACGCACACGTGCCCGGCATGAGTTTTAAGCCACCGGGTCCGGGACGTGAACCGTGGTCAACTACGTGGGAGTCCAGCGACATAGTCATTACACTAACTGCTGGTTCCCCCCCCCCATTTTCTTATTTTTATTGCCAGAGGATGTGTGTGCTTACCAGAAACAGAGACAGAGATGGAGGGGAAAAAACAACATACCCCAATGGGGCATGGCCATACCACAATCACTGCTCCTCTATTTCTCTGTCCCATCAGGATTTGGGCCACACGTATGCATGCCCACACCCAGAGTGTTTTTCAACTCATTGGGCCTGGATGTGAAATGCAGCCAGCCATGTGGGGTCCAGCTCCCTTAACGACTAGGTTATGGGGCTGGCCCTAGAAATGTCTTCAATAATGACTCTAGCCTCACTTTGTCCAGCTACAAAATGGGGCGGAGGGTGGCATCTGCATTAGACCAATAACCGCCGGAAGAGTGTTTGCCTCCTTGGGGGTGGGGTGGCGGTGGTGGCAAATTTACTGGGGGCATTTCAAGCTTTCTAGCCCTCCCACCGCAGGTGCAACTCCCTCAGGTGAGGCTGAGGGGAAGGGTTGACCACTAGGTACCAGCAGGCAGGTCCCCACGAGCTTGGCTGTCAAGCCAATCCTAAACCATGGAGGCCTTGGGTGGAAGCTGGCCAGAGGGAATCCGTGTGCCTCTGAGGCCACCGAGGTCTAAGCAGCCTCCAACCCTGAGGAATCGGGGCCTCACTAAGTCCTGGGGTGCCTGGACTGGTCAGTAACGGAACCTGTTCCCCACGACCAAAGGCTGGGGGATGTGAAGAGGGCACTTGAATGGCCCTGGCTCACCTGGTCCCGCAGTGAAGCCCACTTGGGGCGCACAGTCCACAGCTGTGTACCACTTACGTGTTTTTAAGTGTTTCTCCAAGTCAGGCAGGAGGACAAAGCCTGGAAACACGGGGTTCCAAAGGAGCCCCTGGGGAGCGACACCACCTCCTGGATAAACCACCTGCCCAGGTGCTGAGCCCTGGGAGGTCTGACTGAGAAGCCAGGAGTGGGTGTCTGAAGTGACACAGGAATCAGGATCATCGCTCAAAGGCCGCAAGCCCCGGGACATGAAGGCTGCCGACAAGCTACCAGACGCCACCCAGTCTGTGAGACTGACAGCAGCCCAGGCAAGTAATACAGGGGCCTGCCGAGAGGTAGACACTGGTCGAGAATTCCCCTCACGACCGCCCCCCAGGGGGCCATGGTGCCCAGCACCATCCTCCCAAGACCATCCAGGAACTGAGTCTGCGTTCTGCCCCTTCCCACTGCCGCCCTTAGCTCAGAGCACACCAGGACGCCCCTGCGCAGCTGGCTAGGCGGCCGAGGACTGCCCAGGGCTTCTGGCTATTTAGCTGTGAGTCAGAAGTTCTCAGCTTGGGCTGCTCAGAGCCTTATTGGGGGAGCTTTCTGAAACTTACTCAGATCTGAGGGTGGTCTCTAAGAGATTCTGCCTTGCGGCCAGGGCTGCGGCCTGCCCCAGGGGTTCTGGGACTGTCCTGCTGAGAATGGTTGGCCCGAGCTTTCTTTTTCAGGCTTAAGGGGACTTACCAGAGATGAGGAACAGCACCTGCTCAGGCCCCTCGGGGCAGCCAGGCCCACACCCTGAAGGCTGGAGACCACCTGTCTGTCCCACCCTCAGGTACAGGCCCATGTGACATCTCCAGAATCAGAATCAGTCCTGGCGCCTCCTCTGGGACATGGAAAGCCTGCAAGGCCCTCGCAGCTGGGGCCCAGAGGTGTCCCCAGGTGGCCACACCCCAGAGGGCATATGTGGGGACAGAGCCCATCAGGGACAGCCTTAAACTCATCAGGCATTCCCAGCTCCTCCTGTGTCCCCATTTGTAGAAGGCCCCCACACCCCACAAGGACCTGAGAACTCAAGGGCCAGAGCCCTGAGCTGCACACATGCACAGGCTCCTCCCCTGCAGGGGTCTGCGGCCCCCACAGCAGAGAAAGCCAGGGGTAACAAGGGGCTGGCCAGGAGTCCCAGCCCACATCTGTCACCCACTTCCTGGGTGACCTGGGCCACATCCTGCTAGGTTCCTGGGCCTCGGTTTCCTGACCTGTCGATAGGGTAGGCAGCCATTGCCCTGCCTTGGTCCAGGGGGGTGCGGGTGCTGCTGAGGATGGGGGAGACTCTGGAGGGGAGGTGGGAAAGTCCTTTGATGTTAGCGTGGAGCCCCCGACCCCACGCCCCCCCACACCTTTAAGATCTTCTCCAGCTGCTTCTGTGTGTCCACCACGATGATGTTGGCGCGGCAGTCGTGGGCGATGTACTGGCAGGCCTCGGGGGAGCTGGTCGTGTAGATGCCAGTCACGATGCCACTAGGGAAGGTCCGGGATCCATGTTTGGGCATGCACAGGGCCACCCCCACGCCGCCCCCAGGCCCAGAGGGCTCCCACAGTGCAGTGGGACTCCCACCCATTTCAGTACAGCTGTCCCCAGCAGACAGGGACCAAAGGCAGGCCCAGGAGAAGAGCCCAGGGAAGAGCTGGGTGTTGAGGAGTGGGCAATGGTGACCTCTCTACTCCCTGCCTGCCACCAACCCATGGGAGCCCCTGCCCCTACACCAGCCACTCACCCTGCAAAGACGGTGCCCACTGCCGAGAAGAACCACTCCGGGGAGTTGAAGCCGAGGATAGCCACACTGTGTGCCCGCTCCAGGCCGAGCTCCAGGCCAAAGGCAGACAGGTCAGGTCAGCCAGGCAGGGGAGGGTGCCTCCCACCACCCCTGCACCCTCCAAGCGGCCTGCAGGGTCTCTGCAGCCCATCTCAGGGCTCAGCCCCGGGGTCCGCCCAGCCAGAGAACCCTCTGGGACCAGCTGCTCAGTAGCCCTTGCTGCCCTCCCCTGGGGCCCAGCCCCTCAGCCCAGCACAGTGGGCCTCCCAGCCCACCTTGAACATGGTACAGGTGGAGATCTGTACCAGGGTCAAGTGCCTGCCACGTGGAAAGCGCTCGGTGAGTCCAAAGCGCTCAGCACCGGGCCCGGAACTCAGTGTCAGTGCAATTAATGGTGGCGGGCTTTCTGGTTATTATTTCGAAGGCTAGCCCGATGGGGAGTCGGGGAGGAGGCCTGACATGGACACCACAAGGGCAGGGAGGTCTAGGGAAGGCTGCGCCTCGAGGCCCTCACCTTCAGGAAGGCCTTGGCAGCCTTGCGGGCGAGCAGGTAGTACTGGAAGTAAGAGATGCGCTCCCACTTGTCCTGGCGCTTGAAGCCCAGAGCACTGAGCTCCCCGTACTTGTCCAGAGCCTCGTAGAACATGCGATGCACGGTGCAGGGAAGCTGTGCGCAGCCGGGGTCCATGCGCAGGCGCACCCGCCCATCAGCCTGAGTCGTCCACAGCGCCTCATCTGCAGGGGCAAACGCAGCTGGACCATGCTGGCCTGGGTTGTCTCTGGGGCACCTGTCCTGCCCTGGGCAGAGCTCCTCGCCCTGCTGGTGCCGACAGTGCCTTGGGCCCTGGCTGTAGGGGCTGGCCAGGGACTGGGGTAGGCTAGGAGGCTGCCTGGAGGAGGGGGTCTAGCTTGGCCTCAAAGGATGAGCAATGCTGAGGGTGCAGCAAGGAAGAGGGAAGGTGAAGGGCCCAGAGACCCTGATGCGCCTAGACCTTTTCCTGTCTTTAGCCAATCTGGAATTGGCCTCCAAGGCCAAGTGGCTGGGAGTGAAGCTCAGGCTGCCTTGAGAGAGTAAGGCTGTCAGATTTCCAGGGGCCGTCGGGGTTTTCATCCTGCCCCTGCCTTGTGTGACTGGTTGGGGACAGGCCTAACTGAACAGAAGGTCAAAGCATCAAAGCCAACGGCCCTCCCCAGGATATGGAGAAGACTGAAAACCAGCCGGCCCGACCTCCAGCCTGGTCTCCAGGCCCCGTCACATCAGCGCTCCTTAGTCTTCACGGCATGCATTCGGGCAGCCCATTTTCACAGGTGGGGCGGCTGCAGCTCAGAGGCTCAGTCATTTCTCCAGGATCAGGTCGCAGGGAAGGGGCTGACCCAGTGTACCTGATGCCACAGCTCAGGCCGGGATGCTGTCGGGTCTCCGCCCAGCTCTCTAGCTCAGGCACTTTCCCCGTGTGGTGGGTGGGACAGAGACGTACCACTTAGCACGGGGACTCTGGGTGACCACTGAGCCCTACGCCTGCTTCCTCAGGGGAGAGGTCAGACTCAGTTCCTGGGGTGGGTACGAGGGTCAGAAATGGTGTACATGAAAGTCCTGGTGTCTAGTCGATGCTCCATAAATGCACACGTCCATTTTCCAAGTTCTCCAAACTGTTTGCAAAGGAAGCTTGGACAGGTGGTCCAGACCCTTTGGGCACCCTGGGGCCTCCTTTCCTGGGGCTAGGGCCATCCTAAGATGACTATGGGAAGGAGAAGGAGGGCTGGCCAGGACAACTGGGGCTGCACTGCTACCTGCTGGCCAGACCTGCTTTGTCGTTATCCTTCTGGGAGGTGGCACCTATGACTGCCCTTCCCCGAGGCGCCAGATGGACTAGATGGCCTTGTCCCTTCCTTCAACACGCTAAGACTGTGTGCAGATTCAGAGGTGGGCAGGGAGAGGTAAAGATCCCGACACTGAACAGGAGGGCCCAGAGCATGCCATTCCTCCTCCAATAAAGGGCCAAGGCAGGGGGACTAGGGGACATAACCCCACCGGGGGCAGAAGAATGGGGACATGGTAGCCAGAGGGAAATCCAGGCTGGGCCAGAAGAAGGTACCAGAGAGATGGTCACTTGTGGACAAGACCTGGGGATTGGCTGAGGCCAGGACTGCACTCACCTGTCCTAGGACAGAGGCCCAGAGCTGGAGTTCAGTGCCCTTGGGTGTAGGCATGGGCCAAAGGCCACTGAGGCCCCCTCCAGATACTCCTCAGACTTCTGCAAGCCTTCCCCATATCCTGGGACCCTGGCCCCACAATTCCAAACATCAGTGTCTCCAGAGTCTCTGAGTCTTGCATTTGCTAAAGTCCGTGCCCAGAGCAGAAGAGTGGAGAGTGCGGGTGCACCCAGAACCTGGCATACAGCCACTGCTAGGGAGCTGTCGGTTCTCTTCCCTCCCCTGGCACAGACACCTCCCTGTGCCTGGACCAGGAAAGGCGGCTCCTGCAGGCGCCTCCAGGTTGCCAAGACAAGCAGAGCAAGTGTGATCTGTTGCAACAGCTTCTCTCAAGCCAAAAACTTTAACCTAAACACCTGTCATTTCTTTATTAGTGATAAAAACATGTATGCCGCTTTTAAAAATTGCCAGGAAGTGCATACATTCACTAGATTTGGGGCACCCACGCCCACATGGCTGGCATACTTTTCACACCTCTGAGACTGGCATTCAAACCACAGTTGGCCACGTGGGACCTGGCTCCCTTACCCACTAGACCATGGGGCTGGCCAAAACATATGCATTCTTGTTGCGAGAAATTTGAAGCAATTTAGAAGACTGATGTAAAAAGTGATATCTTCCTTATACAAATATTTATACAAAGAGTTGTATTTTGTTGTTGCAGTTGCTTTAATTTAAAAAAAAAATGTGATTAGCATATTAGTCAAGGGTAGCAAGCACCAAATGTCTGTGGGATCTTTTGGGGGTAATGTATCAGTATCATAGTAAACAATGTATACTCCAAATAATAAATACACAAACTGCCCCAGCAAGTGAGACCCTAAGGCAGTCTTCTTTGCCACAAAGAAATAACCTCCCTCTCATATTGCTTGAGTCACACGGTCCTTGTGGTCTAAATTTTGTTTCACTGTTTTTAGTAGAAACATCAAACAGTGCAAAATTTGTCTATACGAAAGCTTCAGGGCCAGCCCAGTAGCTTAGTGGTTAAGGGAACTGGATCTCACATGGTCAATGGCAATTCAAGCCCTGGTCCTGGAAGCTTAAGAAACATGTAGGGCACATGTGCCTGTGTGCCCTATATTCTAATAGGATGGAGAGATGGAGGAGGGATTGCAGCATGACTATGCCCCACTGCAGGTGCTTTCTCCCTCCCTCTTTCTCTCTGTCTCTTTGTGGTGAGAACATGTGCTCTCTGACAAATAAATAAATAAATAAGAAAAGCTACAAAGTTCAAGAGATCAATTGCACGACATGGTAATCTATTGTACTACTATACATGGTGATCTATTATACAACATGGTGATCTATTGTATTATTAATACATGGTGCCTATTGTACTGCATGATAATCTATTGTACTATTAACACAGGGTGATCTACTGCACTATTAATACATGATGATATACTGTACTATTAATACATAATGACCTACTGTGGAATTAATACATGGTGATCTATTGCACTACATGGTGATCTACTGTATTACTAATACACAGTGCTCTGTTGTACTACATGGCGATTACTCTACTATTAACACATGGTGATCTATTGTACTGCATGGCGATCTGTTGTACTACATGGTGATCTAGTGTACTATTAACACACAGTGATCTATTGTACTACATGGTGATCTACTGTACTATTAACACATGGGGCTCTTTTGTACTATATGGCGATCTATTGTACTACATGGTGATCTATATACTATTGCCACATGGTACTCTACTGTACTATTAACACACAGCGATCTATTGTACTACATGGTGATCCACTGTACTATTAACACACAGCGATCTATTGTACTACATGGTGATCCACTGTACTATTAACACACAGCGATCTATTGTACTACATGGTGATCCACTGTACTATTAACACACAGCGATCTATTGTACTACATGGTGATCCACTGTACTATTAACACATGGCCATCTATTGTACTACTCACAGTGATCTACTGTACTACATGGTGATCTATATACTATTGCCACATGGTACTCTATTGTACTACATGGCGATCTTCTGTACCATTAATACACGGTGCTCTGTTGTACCACCTGGTGATCTACTGTCATATCTTTCTATGGTGATCTACTGTACTACAGCCCTGCTTCCTCAGTGAAGACTGCTGTTCTAAGCCTAACTGAGGGCTGGGCCACGACTGAGTAGAGCTGCCCCTCCCACCAGCCTGGAGGCTCCGAGGCAGGTTCCCTCTGCCCAGAGTACTGAGCAGCAGTACCTTCCCTCAGCAGAGGCCAGTGCACCTTTAGGTAAGAACACGTTGGTCTCCTCCTGTCCTATTCCCAGAAAGTCTAGGACCACGTAGGGAACTCCGGCCATCATCCCCTTCCATCTTGCCTTGCCCCCGTGATAGCCCCCAAATGGGGCAGGACACATGGCTGTCCAAGGGCAAGGAGAAACAGGCCCACGGAGCAGGTGTCTGCCTAAGAGGGACATGCAGGCTGAAGCCCCATCCTGCATCGCTGAAAGCCCCAGGTAGGGCCAGGCGAGGCCCCACCCCACACAGTGCCCTGGTCTGAGTCCCTCAGCCAGGGACCTCAGTCCTCTGCTGCTAGCTGCTGACCCTGCCCTTGGACTTGAGAGCTGGAGGAAGGGAGGACTGGCAGGGAAGAATCTCTGACACAGGGAGTTGATGGCCCCTACTCCCTCTCTCATGTCCACAGCATCCCACCTCAGCCTTGGCTCACACCGTGCCTTCTTCCCACCTCCATGTCTGGTGGAGGGGAAAGCTCTGGACTAGTCAGAAGTCTCAGGCCCAACTTGAGCTATTGGTGAGGGTGGAGCAGTCGGAAGGGTCCCTTGGCTATGACGTGAGTCTTGGACACTGGCTGTGCTCCCTGACTGCACGAACGAGACCAGAGCACCAAGCCCTGGCTGAAGGCACACAAGGGCACCTCAACACTGCCCAGCCCGACCACTGCCTGCCTCTCTCTCACCGAGATCGGCATGGACGAGCTGAGAAGTGGGGTGGCAGCAATCAGAGTAGTGGGCAAGTAGCAGGCGACAGCAGGGCCAACAGGGGCTGCGTTTCAGCGACGCAGGTGACAACCAAAGTCAGGGGCCGATGAGGTCTATTATGTCCCACTCCCCACTGGAATCATTCCAGGTTTCTTGTTGCCCCTGCCTGTCCTCACAATAACACCCATCTCCTGAAGCCATCTGATCTCAGATGACCTGCCTACCTGCATCCTCCTAAGAAGAGCCTGGACCAGCAAGGTATGAGCAGGTATGCTGATGACATAGTAGGCTCAGAACCAAGCTGGGCAGGGTCTGTGCAACCCAGGGCCCGGACTGGTATGGCTTTCTTGGGGGTAACTGGCATTCTATATTGAAGGGCTTGAAGAGGGGTAGGAGGGGTAGCCTTTGACCAAAAGTCACACTTTCAGGAAGCTGCTCAACATGAGCTAGTGAGGATGGGGAGGTGGGTGTCTGCATCTATTAGCAAAGTCACTGGGAACAAGCCACACAGGGGGCTGGGTGAAGTCCTCAGGGTCGAGCCTC